AATATGTGGTTGTTGACAATAAATATGCTAAAAATAGAAACTTTGGGAAATTAAAAACCCTAGTTTGGTGTTAACATCAAACACTGTCAAATATTTTCTATATACCATATAACTTATTATTCACAAAAGCTCTGTAGTGTGAGAACCATTTTTAATCCTCACTTTTTAGGTGAAAAAAAAATCTAATTCTCAGTGTGTCAGTTAATTTTGTGTATCAACTTGACTAGATTATGTGATACCCAGGTAGATGTTAAAACTATTTCTAAACTATTTCTCGGTGTGATTGTAAGAATCTTTCTGGAACAAAGTAGTATTTGAAGGAGTAAACTAAGTACAAAGTATTTGTACTCACCAATGTGTGTAGGCACCCTCTGATCTGTTGAAAGAGGATTAGAACAAAAAAGCAGAAAGAAGAAGGGTAAACCAATCTCTCTCTCTCTCTCTCTCTCTCTCTCTCTCTCTCTCTCTCTCTCTCTCTCTCTCTCCTGGAGTGGGATATCACTCTCTCCTGGAGTGTAATGAAATATTAGGACTCCTGGATCCTAGGACTTTGGATTTCAAGATTTTTATCATCATCTCACATTCTCTTATTTTCTGCCTGGGACCCAGAGTTACATCATTGGCTCCTCTAGTTCTTGGGCCTTCAGACTTGGACTAAATTATACCTTTGCCTTTCCTGTTTCTCCAGCTTATGGACAGCAGATTGTGTAACTTTTCAACATTTGTAATCACATGAGCAAATTCCCACAATAAATTCCCCTCTTCCTTATCTGTATATATCCCATTGTTTCCCTGGATAATCTGGAGTAATACACACAAGTAAACTGAGGGAACTGACCAAGTTATCATAGTAAGTAGTAGGGTAACGATCTGGACTCAAGCACATCAGATTGAAAGTTTGTTATCTTAACTCCTTATAAAATAACTGTCTAATATAATTTTGGCCAAACTATATATACATTTACCAATGGTGTGGTCTAATATACAATAGAGTATGTATCTACTAAAATAAAATGATAATACTTTAATATATAGTAAGCAATTAACATTGTTGATAAATTATATTAGATTTTAATATGTAAAACTTATTCATGAAAACAACAACATATTAAATTTTTTAATGATGAAGAATTATCCCCCTCAACATACCATTGATTATAATTATGAATATAATATATATTATTGTCTAGAACTGAAGATATTATAATTCAGATAAAGCTTAAGTTAGTGTAGAACTATCTAGAATAGGAAGCATAATTTTCTAACAAATTATTTCCCAGCAGATTTAGAAAATTTTTATCCGTATTAATTTAAATTCAGATACAGCCACAGTAACTTGGTTGTAATTAACATTTTTCTTTTTCTTTTTCTTTTTTTTTAAATTTCTGACTGGCAGGAATTAGGTAACTTGTCTCACCTGAAGCTGAGCTAGCTTACCTGTGTTCTTATAGCAGTAGAAGGAAACTCCTTCTTTGCTTCTATGACTCTGTAGGCAATTCTAAGCATTTCTTCATGTAGCAGATTATAATTTCTCTTTAACCTTGGCAAGTGCTTATTTGTGATAGACAACAAGGAAGAAATAAATTTGTCTGGACATTTCAAACTTTTGTTATTCTGGTCAAATTCTTTGATCATGTTCAGCACAGTAAAACCCTATACTGATGTGTAAAATATTTGTGTGTCAGTGTTTTTGTTTCAAAATTTGGTGGTTATTAAATAAATGAAAGGTTAAATGCAGAACATGAAAAACAAAGAGGAATAACATGACACAAAACAAATGCGGAATGTCATACATGAACTGGAAGAATATTATACAGTTCTGGGTACAGAATAATCATGCATTTCCCCACGTGATGGAGTTCATTTATCTTTGTCCTGCTATTTCATCATAAAAATGATGTAACTCTTCAGTGTTTTGATTTTTTGCATATTTTTTGAATTATAAAAATATCAGTTATCTTTATTTTATATCCAATCCTTCAGAGACAATCTAATTGATTTAAGTCATTCACTGTTATCTCTGATGGACTGAGGATTTAGGACTTTAGACAATGTAGAAGTTGGATACTCTTCTATGTTCCAAACACCAGCGAAATAGGACAGGTGCAATCCACAGCCATGCTAAATAAAATCTCAGAGTCATTGCCTTTATAGGAAAAGCTTGTCTGAGAAAGGACAAGCATCTGTAATCTTGGGAGGTGCTTGTGTTTGGCTTACACAATTCATTGACTGTAATGAATGGATTTTTTTGAGGTGGGCTCAAGAAAATCAGTTAATTGTCTGTTGTATTTGTAGCATTTTAATCAAGTTTTCTCTTTAAGTGGTATGGATTCTTTACTATTGACCATTTTAATTTGGAAAGAAATCCACCAGAATTTGGCCAAAACTAATGATGCTGTGTTATTTCATTAGACTAATTAGAAAATGAAAAAAAAAGTTACATTTTGAAACCATTCTTCTTTCATAGCAAAGCTGTATTATGGAAGGTTTTTTTTTATTATTATTGAAAAGTAGCCAGGTTTCTAGTTAATCAAAAGTATGCATCAATATATTTAGGTGTAAGGTAAAGTGTACTGAAAGCTAAGAAAAAGCTCCTCTTTATGCTGCTTGAAGCAAAATTGTGATTTTCCAGTGCTTGTTTATTTTGACATTTTTAGGAAAATACAGCCATTAGTAAAGTCATTAATAGCTTAACATGTTGAATTTGTGAAGCTCAGCCAAGAAGTAATTTCTACCAGACTTAAAAGCAGCAGACTGTTTAGTGAATGTTACAAAATGTAGCATTTTAAAGGAAGAGAAATATGTAAAAGAGAAGAATTTAAAGCATTTCTGTATACATTTTTGGTATTTTACAGAAATTTTTATTTGCTAAAATCCCCAAGTGTTTACTTGTTTTCATGTTTCTAAGTAGTTTTTATCGAATAAAGAACTAAAATGTTTGGACTTTCAATTTAAACAAATATGAAAGAGAAAGGTCCATGTGATAGTAGTAAAAGTAAAAAGGTCATAGATAAAAAAGTAACATCTTTAAAAAATCATCTTTTCCCCTTCCACATTAAGGATTGATTGCACTTAGTAACTTAATTTCAAAGATTTGTGTAAGAAAAGAGAGAAAAAACAAATGAACAAACAAAAAATCCACCAAAACAAACAAACCCTAAAACATTATAATGGCAAAACCTGGTAAACACTACAGTAATTCTACTAAGTAATCAAGATTAACATTATCAGTGTTAAATCATGTTAAAGGCAAATAAACCTGATGTATTAAAGGAACATATGAACACTTAATCATTCACATAGGGAGATGATATGAAGGTATATAGGGACACGATGACCATTAACAAGACAAGAAGCAAGGTCTGCATCAGATCCCAGCTTGCAGGTCTCAGGAGGAACAACTTTGCAACACCTTGTCCTGAATGTCAGGCCTCCAGAAATGTGAGATAAACAACAACAACAACAAACTTCTATTGTTTGAACAACCCTGATCTATAGCAATTTCTTAGAACACTGCTAACAAACTAATACAGTCCATGAGTAATCATTGAAAAGAACACGTTTGCTGTGCGCGGTGGGGTGGCGCAAGCATCCCAGTAGCTCAGGAGGAAGAGGCAGGAGGATAACAAGTTCAAATCCAGCCTTAGCAAGTTAGCAAGGCAATAAGCAACTCAGTGAGACTCTGTCTCTAATAAAATGCAAAATAGGGCTAGGGATGTGGCTCAGTGGTCCAGTGCCCCTGAGTTCAATCCTTGGTACCTTCTTGCCAAAAAAAAAAAAAAAAAAAAGAAAAAAAGAAAGAAAAGAAAAGAACACGTTTGATGTCCCAGTGGGAAGAGTTTCAAGTGCTAGACAGTGCCTGAAGGTACGTCAGAAGAAGTACACTTGGAAAGAACTCCAGGATGAAGCACAAGGTAGCTCTAAACGGAGCAAAAAGGCAGAGGTTAAGTTCCATGGATAAAATAGGATAACAAGACTAGAATTTGGTACCTGGTAGCTTCAGAGCTACTTAGAAATAGCCTACTAGGCAACTCTATGGGAGAGTAAAGCCTGGCTCTACCCAGGGTGTCTAACAAGCATATCCTATGGGGAGCTAAAGGAGAGATATCTGGCTGGGATACCTGAATTGTGGAGCATTGCTGAGGTTTGAGCTTCAGGAAAATTCAAATTAACTATTAACAAAATGAGCCAAGGAAGATTTTAGCTACAAATATTTAGTTGAAGGAGACTGCATACAAATTCTGAGTAAAATCAAAAGTCTTAATGGTTGCACCACTAGAAGTGAAGTGAGAGGAAAGAAACATCAGTCAAGAAGGCTTAAAGTAGAGTGATGCCAGTAGCTTCTACTTTACAGGGATTTTTGATGACTAAACACATATGGTTCTTATATGCCTATATGAACATTCTTGTAAGTGTGACATGTGTTAGGACATTGAAAAAAATTCATTACTAAATTCTTAGAGCATTCATTCTATGAATTATATGGAAAATAAAAACCAAATTAAAACAACAATAGCAAAGCACATACCATCCTCCCCAATTTTCTTCCTAATTAATTCATGTAGGAGGAGGTTTAACTTTGTGTATTAAGCGTTAGGTAACACTACAGAGAATAGCAACTTGATTAAAAAGATTCTTAGTTGTCAATTAGTAGTAAAAGAATATAACCCATTAAGATCTATAACACAACACATTATCATCTCAAAAGTATAACATATAAGTCTTGATCACTCTTACTATATGAGCAATTGTCATTATAGGTTTGTTTTTATTAGTTTATTATTATTTACTAATTACCTTGTTTCGCTAGAATTCTGGTAATTTTTTCTCATTTATTTATATCTCAATCAGAATTTTAGAGACCTTAATTAAATTTGTTTACAGTTATGAGATTCACAGCATTTCTCTCTAATTTACTTATCAGACTTATGTGCTCTTTTGACTTCAATTATTATCATTTTGGTCCCCAGGTTCCTGACAACTAATGCAAGGACTGCATGATTCTGACAAGCTGTCAGTTTGTGATCACTGTTGAAGTAACTGACACATCAATACTTTGAAAATATAAGTGTCTGATTGAAAGATAATACTATATAGATTGCAGATATATTTCACATAGATATCTTTTTTCCAAACTATAAGGCATTCCAATTTGATGGTAAAAATATCCATATTTCCTTTTTGAAGCAAGTAGAATATAAAATATTTCACTCCATTACAAAAAAAGTCAGAACTCACTTCTGACTTACAAAGCAAAGTGCAGGTATGATGTGTCTATCTAGATACAGGAAGGACTTTTGTTAATTACTGTGAGTAAGGGATCATTGTTAACGGCAGATTAACTTTGATTCCTTAAGGGAGAAAAAAATATCTTTTCTTCACTCATCTTATGTTCAAGGTTGAGGTTCCTATAACAAAAGACAGAGTAACAAAATAAAAACATACATATTTATTATAAATTCTACCTGATTTGAGAATCTTTGTAAGTAAAAACAGTGCTAAAGATATAGCTTAAGTTGTATCTCTTTATATCTAGGTTTGATATCAAAATAGATAGTCATGTAAAAATAAGATTGGACAAAGGAATATGGTCACAGGGTAATATACTAGGGGAAATTTAACTGGACCTGTTCAAATTATTCTCTGTAACCCTAAGACTTAAGAGATAATGATGTTCCTTTCCTGTAAGTATGGGGAGGGCACTTCTCACAAGAGACTCTTTGACATGCCTTTCGATAAAGTCAGAAAATTCTTCCTAGATTGTATGGCTTATTTTCAGGGAGAAGCACAGCAGATGACCTTCCTACTTCTGTTATTCTTCTCAAATGCTGAGGTGCCACATTTCCAAGAAGCATTTCCTCTACCTCATCAACGCCTATGTGAGAGAAAGGTAGGCAAGCTCTGCACTGGTTTCTTCACCACTAACAAAGGTGGTGTGCTTCTGTTGTGTTCATATTTTACAAGTCAGAGACAGACATATGGCCATGACTGAGGTTAGCAAGAGGGGAAGTAAAATTATTCCCTGGGTATGGGGCATCAAAATTTACACACATAAATGCAATCTCTACAGTCTATCCAAGTTGACTCTTCTGGTATGAAATATTTCATTTTTATCATCCTTAACCCATGGAAAATGTCCACTTTCTCTCAACTCCTAAAAGAAGCCCACTTTAGCTACAGCACTAGGTTCAAAATTTAGAATCTTACGATGGTCTCCACAACAGGATGATTTCTTCCTGTTCTGTGGAATGAACTAATAACTATTATCCAAACTTATCAATGTGCTTGCTCTCTAGCCCTCACAACCCTCACCCTCATAATCCAGTAGACCCTAGTGGAAGGATGTCATCATAACTGACATTAACAATCCAAGAAAAAAAGGAGGAAAAAATGTTATTGGCACAGCTTTCGTTGGTTTATAGTAATTCTGAAATTACACTTGCCTGTCATTTTGGGGGCCCCTTCTTCGACACATTTGTGTCATCCTTGGAGAAAGGAGGACAGTAGAACGATGTCCTTGATGTGTCCATCTCTGTTCACAGGAAACTAGGTGAGTTAAGAGAACCGAGTTAGTCTGGACCAGAATGTCCATGTAAATATTAACTTGAAGAATAACAGTTTTCTTTCCTCTGTGCTGGGTACTAGGAAAGTCAGAGTTATCTGGAGATAGCTCCTTTTAGACCTCTTGCATACCTGTCAATTTCTTGAATGCTGGTTATATAATGTAAGATAAGCTAATAATGTCACTGCTTCAGTAACCTAGTAACCTAACTTATAAAACCCATCTCCATGTGGTAGCTGATGCAGAAGAAGGCATCATGGAGAAGGAAGTGCTTGCCCAGCTGCACAAAGCATCATGAGGAATGGAGGCCTATTTTGCATTAAGGCATCAGAGACACCATGTGCAACAGAGGCGCTTCTGTCCAGCTCCTCCCAAAGGATCTTCCCAATAAGCATTTTCAATAGATTTTATGACTCCTGTCCTATCTCAAGGTGTTTTCTTTTTTCTCTTGGCAATCTTTCCTGCTCTGCCAGCACAACTGGGCTGGGTACAGTACAGCATCACAAAATATATTAGTATTGACAATACTAAAGACAAAATATGAAGGTATTTATTGAAATACCTGTGGTTTTATTGAAGACTATTGCAATAAGCACCAAGACTACTGTGATAGGGGAGAGAGATGGAGATCATCTATGACTATACAAAGATAATAGGATTATTAGTCAATGGGGGGTTGAGAGGTCTGCGGATAGAAAATTACTAAGAAAAACATCACAGGTAAGGGGATTTTTGCAGAAACAATTGAAAAGGATTTTTGCTGAGAACCAGCCAAAAAAGACAGGCATCAAAGGTGGGAGATAAGAATCTTGATCACACATTAAGAGTGATCAGCTATCAACAGTGGATTATCTCTAAACTGAAAAAGTAAAATTCTTGCTAAAACTGTGCTATGCAAGCCAGATAAATACAGAGGTCAAGGTTGAGACCTAGACAAGAGGAGGGTTCAGAGGAACCTGGATAAAATTAGTTAAACAAGGAGGTTTTATTATCAAGTAAAATTACTACATCGGTAAATTTTTTAGTAATGCAAAGATTAATAGTGCAATGTGAACGTTAGAAAATAAGCCAGCACAACATATTTACACTAAACATGTATCTAACTGAACTGACAAAGTATGCTACGTTTAGATAAGTATGTCCTCCAATGGTTCATGTGCTGGAAGCTTGGTCCTCAGTGTGGTGATGTTGGAAGGTGATGGAATCTTCAAGGGACGGGACCTAATATAAGGGGGTTGTATCCTTGGAGTGTCTCTCTCAGCATAGTTTATTTCTGATCTTAGGGAATGCATTTGTTCTTAAAAAGTGAGTTGTTTCAAAGCAAGCCTATTCCATCTACTTGATTTTTTTTTTTTTTTTTTGATGCACTTGGCTACTTCCATTTCTGAATCTGCATCCAGCTGTGGCACAGCTAGAGGGATCTTACTAGAGACTTAACAATGGAGCCACGTTTCCTTGGACTTGCAGTCTTTAAATAAGAATTCTCTTTTCTTTTTCAACTATCCAGCCTCAGGTCTTTGGTTATACCAACATAATATGGATTCTTAAAAATAATTAAATGAACTTGTCTAGAAGAATTTTAATTCTCTTCCAGGCCTTTCAGTGCCCTGCTTTTCAGGAAAGTTACTTTGACAAGGCTATTTGTTTCAAAATCTTGTTACTTTTTACTTTGATGTGCAACTTTGTCTTTTATTCTTTTTTTTGGGGGGGGGGGAGTACCAGGGATTGAATGTAGGGGCACACAACCACTGAACCACATCCCGAGGCCTATTTTGTATTTATTTAGAGACAGGGTCTCACTGAGTTGCTTAGCACCTCATTTTTGCTGAGGCTGGCTTTGAACTCATGAACATCCTGTCTCATCCTTCCATAGCACTGGGCTTATGGGCATGCACCACTCACCCAGCTTGTCTTCTACTATTTGTACTATTTGCCTAAATAGTTGTTTTTTTTTTTTTTTTTTTGTTAGTTTGTTTTTCCTTATCTCCTTTGTGAAATACCCTATACCTCCTTCCCTTCATCTGGGGCTTCTTTTGTGAAAGGATATTTGAAGCTGTGCTAGTCTTTGTTTTTCAGCAGTTAGTTCCCAAATATGTTGTTCAATTTGAAGTTCTGGTTTAACTTGAAGATTTTTATCATTCAGCTCACATCTCTGCTGGCCTTCTTTTTGTGCACATACTTTATTATCCTGGTCCAATTCTGAGGTATTCATCTGAATTTTGTTTTCTAAGTGTCTTCCCCCCACAACCCCCCTTAATGTCTGTTCTGTTTTACCAACAGATGCTTCTGGCTGATTTGCTGGAGATGTTGCTCTGGGAGTGTAAAGAAATGCAGCTAGAAAGGCTTATCTCTGTTTCCATTAGGTATCTCTGAATTGGAAAAATCAACCTTGATCTCATAGGAAATCTTAGACACAGGCTGTTTAAAGCACAGTCCAGGGAGAACTTAAAAGCATAACCACCCTTGAAAACTACGGAAGTCTGAGTGTCTTTGTTTTCAGAGATTTTGTAAGCTTCTCTTTACCTCACTGTGTGCAAATGCCTTAATTCCCATCCATTTGGATCTCAAACAAGAAAATGTAAATGACTCTCCCACTATATTTTCTTCTGTAGGCAAGAACATCACAAACATTTCCTGGAATTTTCTTTCTTTCTTTTTTTTTTGGCTACACTATAAAATATCTTTAAAAGACTGTTCACATATAATACCCCTGCATCAGTTTTCTTGGTCACATATTGATTTGCTCAGTACATCTAAATAGCTACATAGTCCTTTTGATACAGTTGCTCTTAGAAACCTAAATTTCAAAAATTTTTGTTATCTCTTATATTTTCACTTGTGCTCCAAATTCAAATGGCATCTTCCAGGAGAAATTAGAAGTAAAGAGATGAAAATAAGATACCTAAAGTTAATTATAACATTTTATTTCCTTTAATGATTTGCTTAACCACATAACCCTGATTTTTCTAAAAACAATAGCCAGTGGGTCATCTCATTCCTTTATACCTCCATTCTTAACTCTCTTTGTTCTCTTCTTATCTAACTAAACATGAGAAGATTTGATTAAACAAAATCATGGACTGAGATGCACTGGTCCCTGAAAGACCAAAGGAAATAAGAATGGTGTCACTCAGGGTAAATGCCACATAATGCACAGATACATGTTTTTCTAAAAAAAAAAAAAAATGAGGTAAATCTCTCTGAAGCAATTTGATGGCAACCAGTTCTTTTCCCCCCTCTATTGTTCTGTTTATTCTTTCCTACTTTACAAAATCCAATGTTCTGCTATCATTCAATGTGAGCTCTCATTTCATTTTGTAAAAAGGAAGCTACCCTCATTCGTGAAATTCAAATTAAAGCAAATTAGATATATACCTAAATTTGTTATGGTTTTGTCTTTGAAATAACTTGAGGAAATCAAAAGTGATTTGTGGGAGGCCGTCATCGCACGTGATTTGAGTTACCTCCCAGGCTGGGTGAGAGGCGCTTAGACACAGCTGTGTCAGAGCTATTTCCCAGTCTTTCCCAGGTCCTAGGGCTTGTCCCTGCAGAGGCGTGCCTGGCCACTGACCCAAAGACCCAATCCTGGGCCCTGACCTTGGGATGCTGCCCCCCTTTAACCTTCATTGGATGGGATTTTCCCTGGAATTTTTTGTTCCCCAATAAAAGCTCACTCCCTGGCATGCTCTCCCTCTCTCTCATAGTCTCTTCTGTAAACCTCCCATCGCATTAGGTGGCTGGAGGCGGGAGCTAGGAGAAGCCATCTAGGGTCTGGGGTTAAAGGTAATGAGAGTCTGTCTCTTTAATTTAAAACTCACTAGCAATTTCTTATGCACTGAACCTTCTTTTAAGCTCGGGCTGGTCGCGTGGCAGAGTGATTTCTTCTTTGGGATGTGTTGATTATAGATGTTTTATCCTTGAGACAATGAATAGGGGATACCTTCCTGGCTCTAGGAATATGAGGAAAGAAATATCTTAGAAATCTCGGATTCAGCCAGCCTACGTAAGCATTTCTATTGCAATGTGACCACGTTTTGTACATGAATATTCACCCTTTTCTTTCTAGTACTTTAAAAGCCCAAGTAGAATGAAAATGGAGGGTTATGAAGCTACCTCTATTAAATAGAAAGTGTAAGGTTTTTTTTTTATTGCTCTTTAGGCACAGATTATTAATGCTGTAATGACACTAAAGAGTATTAAATGCAAATTTTCAAAGCTCTAAAGAGCTTTATTAAGATAAGCAACATTTTATTGAGTCAATTCAGTTGCTATTTTAATGAAAATCTGGCTAAATAAATCTCGATGGAAGCCACCACAGATGTTGTGTCCTATATTACCAGGAATAAGCAACTGCACTTGGCAGAACAGAGGAAGAGAAACCTGCAAGGGGAAGATGGTGGAGAGGTGAAGTTTGGGGCTGCAATAGATACACAGAGTGTTTTTCCTGTTTTAATTGCTGTAACTGCAATCAACTATCTTACAAACCGATTTTATATCTTTTGATAGTAAAAGATACCTCCTTTCTTTCTCAGTTAATGAAAAGTCATTCTTATCTTTGCAAAATGAGGAAGTACTTGTCTTTGTGTATAAATTTGAAATTACATAAAGGAAGGCAAAGAAGAATAAAAAGAGAAAGGACAAAGGGAAAGGAGGAAAGACAGGAAGGCAGAAAGGAAAGACAGAGGAAGAAAACAGGATAGAGGGAGAGGAGATACTTGGTGAAAGGGTTATTGAAATGGTGGTAGGAACACTGGTGAGATAAGTGAGTCCTAGGTTCTGTCCTAAAGTGTGCTGACTCAGCATGTGACTCTGGACAAACCACTCCACTTTTCTAAATGCCTGACTTTCCATCTTTCAGTTGAGATTGCCAGTCTACAGGAGGGTCAACACATGCACTATTAACATTTTGAAGGAAATGTATCTTCACTGGTCAGTTTTGACCCCACTCAGTACAGAAAGCATCTCCATGGATTCCTGCCCACCAAATGCCAGTAATAATGTTTGAGTGGTTATGATAATTAAAACTCTACTAGTTTCCTATCATCATGTAAAATCCTCAGTACAAAGCTTGGGGCGGCCTTTTATAATCATAAATTTAGAAGAGGTATTTATGATCATCTATTTAATGATTTTAACTATAGAAATAATTCTCTTGGGTGGAAAATGATAATGAAAATTTGTCAGATTCTCAGGTGGGAGATATTTTGGGAATGAATGAATGACCCAGCCAAAAAATAAATAAAATAAAGAACAGGTAACCATTAAGTACACTATAAAGTCAGTTTGATATATTTTACCTTAATATTTACAGGAATAGCACGAAGAATTATAATTTCTTAAATTGTAAAATAAGAAATACAATATGAGTGAGTGTTATTTAACTATTTCAAGAATGAAACACATTCTGTTTTTTTGTTTGTTTGTTTGTTTTTTAAGATAGAGTCTAGTTATGTTGCCCAGGCTGACCTTGAACTCTTTCATTTAAACAATTTTCCTGCCTCAGCCTCCTGAGTAACTGGGATTGCAGGAGAAAGCCACTGTGCCAGGCTCATTGCTTTTTTATTTTTAAATGTTGTCTGAGCAGGTGTAGATAATGTGATCAGAAATGTAGGTAGAGAGTCATTATGATATCTTGTCTCCACTAGTAATACCATTGGAGTTACTATTAAAATGATAATGCTGTTTTTTTTTTTTTAAAAAAGAGATGAGAATATAACATATTAAATTTACAGGCAAATACTGCCCTATTGTTCTGATCATAATCAAGCCACTTCCATATTTCTGCCTTCCTAAAAACAAAACAAAACAAAACAAAACATATTTCTGTTGTTTACCATGTAAGAGGTTAAAAAGGTTTATTTGAAACATGTTTGAGAAACTACATGTTTAAAAGATATCTGAATTGTCATTTTTACAAACTACCTACTGTTGTACTTTGTCTATATTCTATTAAGATTTGTGCTCTTATTGATATGAAAATGCTTTTTATGTGTTAAATAAACTATAAATCTTTTACGATGTTGGTTGCAAATATTTTTTCAGTGTATTGCATGTCTATTACAACTGAGTTTTTTTTCCAAGAAATTTTTATTTCTTTAAAATAGTATTTTTGCTTTACAAATTTGCCTTACTATTGCATTTGAAAATGTTCCTGTGGGATTTTTTTTTCTACATAAATATTTATTTTTTAGTATAGTATAGCATAAATAATTTACCACTCTGAAATTATTATGGCACAAAATTAAAATGTAACATGAATTATTTTTTTCCCAAAAGGCTTCCTCATGGTCTAATAATATTGCTGTGGTTTGAATATGGTTTCAGTATGACTCCCAAAATTATATTTGCTGGAAACTTCAGTATGGCTCTGTTGAGATAGTGGAATCTTTAAGAGGTGGGATCTACTAGAAGATAAGTATGTTATGAGGGCTTCACCCTTGGAAGAAATTAATGGTGTTCCCATGAAATGGATTAGTTCCTGAAAGATTTACTCATATATGGGAGCCTTCCCTGAATCCTTCATCCACACATGCTGCTTACCTTTCTTATATACACAGTGTCATTGTGTGGGTGTGCAGATGCTGAGCAATTCTGGTGACATGTTTTTAGATCTCTAAAACTGAGTATAAAATAAGACTCTTTTCTTTACACATTTCACACTGCAAGCATTTTGTTATGGCAATCTAAAATGAATTATGACAAGTATTGCATGTATAATTAATCTTTTCCTCATCTATTTGGAATAAATGTGTACTATTATCTTCAACGCCTCGTTTTCTTACAGTTCTATCCCTTAAAGCATAAGTGCATGGTCTTCAAAATATCTCTCCCTGTAACTCCCAAATATCGACGCACAAAAGACTGAACAGTCCACTTAAATTTTGATTTGAACCCTGTTTTTTTTCTCTCTCTCTGATGATTTTGATTTAGAATACATTTTTTACTATTTTTACTTATATTCTTCCTAGTTATCCAATTCAAGCAATTTTGCATATAAGCTACCTACTGTTTTATACGGTAAAAATAAGGGACTGATTCAAATAATAGTTCATAAATCACATGGCATATCACTACAGGAAGCAATTTTTTTCCTTCAGTTCACAATGTGTAAAGAAACATGGAATTTTTTTAAGGAAATACCCTGGACATGCAAGGCACAGTAACCACATAGTGAATTTCAAAATTGTTGAAGTCTACTTGCTCAGTTAGCATAGAAGAAGCCTCTTTGGAAAGTAATATTTGGGATTTTGTACATGTACATTCGTATACACACACATAAGGTGTGTGTACATCTATATGTATACATATAGTGTGTATATATATAAATATTCATTGTATATGTATATATATATATATATTTCATGCGTATGTGTGCATGTGTATGTGTATTCTATTTTTAACTTTATTTAAAAGGGATAGTCTATTGAGGTGATGGATTTTTTTTGCTGGTGAAATTTTATTCCCAAGTTTCACATTAGGTCATGAACCCAAAGTGATGTGTTATGAGTTTTAGGCTAAATCCAAGAGACTATTATATTTTTTCTATTGGTATTTGTCATGGTAGTGATATAAGCACTAAAGATGGGAACATGTTTTTTTGTTGCTGTTAAAGTAAATTCAGAGAAATCAGATTATAGCTGATGTAATTTAGATGTTTGGAGGTGGGGGATTTCCTGATAGCAAAATCTAATATATGTAGCTCCCAAAATGGAAAGCCTCTCTCAGGAGGATGACCTGCATCACAGAATTCATTTTTCAATGTGGTGATGCTGACACCAACTTTAAAGTTGATTTTTTTTTTTTTCGGGAAGTTTTCTGATTAGAAATGACTAAACTTTTGCACTTAGACTTAGCTATGTGTGGGATTTGGGAAAGAACACACCCTTTATTCCTGTATCTCACTTGCATTAGACTAAATTACTATCTACAACTTTTTATTCAGGGCTTCAGTTTCTATTTGCTAATGGTTAGTGTAGGAAAGTCACCATAATTGACACCCCAAATCTTACCTCTCTTGTAGTATGCAAATAATCATCATCCTGCTCTTTTTATAGAAAAGAAATCTAAGACTTAGGAAGGATAAGTAACTTGATTTAAGTCACAGTTATAGACAATGTTCCCTATCATGCATATATAACGTCCCTATTCCTGTTGTAGTACTAACTTAAAAGGCTTAATTACAACAGTGGTTGTGTTATGTTGTATACTTCTCTGTCTCCAGGATATGAAAATTCACTTCCTTCTGGTCTGTCATCTTAGTTTCTCCATCCCACTAAGCAAGTGTCTTAATGTTTGTTAAATTCAATTTGCAACAACAAACTCCTAAACTCTACTTGGTATAGAGTGAGGGTTGAATTTTAATTGTTGGCCTCTGAAAGAATAGTATCCACTGAAAGAGCTACTTGTTATTTCAGAATCTTGGTAATGTGACCTTTCTTTGGAGACCTGGACTCTCATTCCCTCACTGAACCTGAATATCCAATAAAGGAAAGATAGGCATGAGAACAGAGAGGTAAGAATGATATTTTCCTGTCAAAATTTTATAAGCCATTTGCAAATGTAAAACAACCCTTTGGACAATTTTGTGCAGAATTCATCAAACTTGCTGCAACGTGACTGCTGCAAACTCAGTTCAGATATTAACTTTCCTTTCCCTTTTTACATGTGCCATGAAAACAACCCACCATGTCAGGCACAACTGGATAAAAGATTCAACCAGAGCAATTACAGAATCATGAGCCTAGATATATGATGTGTACTTTCAAAGCAGCTTCTAACTTGCGTTTGATGTGAACAGCTCGATATTTTGTCAGCTTTTAAGTTTTATCCTATTGAAATGCCTTTCAGCTCTATCCTAAAATCTTTTTCATTATTCATGATTTGTGTAGAACTATCTCATCGTTTCCCAAAGTTATTATAAGGAACTCTCAAATGCTGCTTCATTTGGAACTGTATGTTCTCCATACACTTATTTTTTACCTTTTAAGAGGCAGAAAAAGCTTGCAATACAACAGAAAAAAATATCCATTGCATATTTTAGACAATCTCCCCAGACTTTTGGGGCTTACTTCTCAAATTGGTTATCTTGTCCAATCACCATAAAACCATTTCCAACTTTCTGAATCCTCCTTAAAATTCACCTTAAAATGCCATTCTCTTCCTCCTTTATTCTTGTAAGGTAAGCTCATTTCAGTCTGATGAATAATAATAGTAAAAATAGGAATCATCAGGAGACAACTCCCTCAGCCTCCTGTGGCCAAAGAATAAGTTTATTTGGACTTTCACTTGATCTTCCTTATTTGCTATAGAAAGGATAATTTTACCTTGATTCATAGAAAGTTCCTTTTTCTATATGTGCTCTTCAGTCTTTGCTTCCCACATTTTCAGGGTCAAACCAATTATTTCCTTTCTTTATGTCAGTTCCTCCTTTGTATATATAAGATAACATTCCCTTAACCTCCCTGTAACATCTTTTACTTTAAAAAGAAACTAATTAAAAAACATAGAACACATTAAAAATTCTGGACCCAGATAGATTTTCTTGTCCACAAGAGTGCTGAGATAGTGCCCACTCACTCTTGCTTCTTCCTCATTTCCCAGTTCTCAGAAATCAGACTTGCTCTTTGTATCCTGATGCTTATCTCCTGAGGTCAGATTAACTGCCTGCTTGCCACAGCTTGATCATCTTCCCTCTCTCATTTTCACTTTGTAAACTAATTGTGCCATCTCATTCACAGCGTAAGCTTCATCTAACACCTGACAAATAATCAGACATCTTATTTTCGAGAATTAGCCTTACTTTCCAATTCTGGATTTTCTGTTTCTTGAACTTCTATAAAATCCTCACAGTCCTTAAACTGAATTATCTTTCTATTTTCCTTACTAAAACATAATACTTTCCTAGGTATTTTGTAAATTGGTGAAGGCCATTAACATCTCCCAATATGTCTCTCAGACCCACTTCTCCTCTAGAATATTTCTGTATCCACCAATCCCTGATCATTTATATCACTGTTGCCTTATTCTGGTCTGGTTTAGACCTCTTCATCAATCAAATGGAATTTTTGTAGTAATCTTATTTTATGCTGATATAATCTTCCTCTCAATGCAACTACAAATATGAATGAGTTACTTTTCTAGTAGTTAAATCTAATCATATCATTTCTCTCCTTAAAGTGTTTAATAGTTAGTTCATAATTCCGTTACCAGTAAAATAGAGTTTTATTTAAATCAAGTACAGTGTGATATTCCAAGCATATTTTATTTAGCTCCTATCTCCGCCACCTCCAAAATTTCAGAACTCTCCAACTCTCTTAATCTAAAGCTATGTCAAAGACTAGCTGTTTTCATATCTATTCCCTTAATTTGTTGTCAGATTATTTTCTTTTCTGATTTTTTTTCTTGTCCACTTGATATAGACATGTGCATTTTTAAATTTCAGCTGGGGAATAATCTATGGAGAATTTCTTGACTTTTACAAAGAAACATGGGGTCATCCATCATAGTCCAATTACCGTGGAGGCAATCCCATTTTAGCAGATATTACCAGGTACTACAGCACAGTTTGCCCATTGAGAGTTTAATGATGGGGGAATATCTTTTTCATTATCACAAATAATTCTTTAAAAATGGGTCAGTTATGCTTCTTAAACTATCTCAGGTAAGAATACTTGTTTTCAAGGAAGTATGCGTGTGTGTGCAGGTCACAGTAATGTCCCATATACATGCCTGCCTGCATATGATCACCACATAAGGAACATTACACTGTTTCTTTCACTTTCACCCAAATGTTAGATGGTAAGTAAACATTTATTGACAGATAAATAAACGGAAACAGCTTTATATTGCATCATCATTAACAACTTTGAGTATTAATTATCTCAGATCTTCAAATCCTTCACCCATCCTGTTAGAAGGGTGTTTCTGCAGCAGCACTAGTTCCCTGCTCTAGGTCCTGCCGTCTACTCTTTCCCGTTCTTCCCCACTTTTCCCTACAGTGGTTTCTAGCCTCAGTGCCGGATACTGTTTCCTACAGAGCTGTCTAGTTGCAGCTTCATTGCAGTTTCTTTCTCAGTTTAGACACTCAGGACTTCTTGCTTTGCACCTGAAGGTTTCACAGTATTTTCTTCAACAAATTGTTAACTTCCACAATGGTCCTTCAGACCATTATCAACCTATTTCACATGGACTGTGTTTCCTTGCAGTTAGAGATAAAGTTCTCCATTTTCTACTCATAGAAATTTGTATTGCTTTCAATAAACCTTTCTTAAATGAAAAATTTCTGAATGCAATAAATAGAAACTCAATAATATTTGAATAATGAGTTTTCATAATTTAGCTTTAAGCAAATTGTGTTAAAATTGCAATGTTATTTTTTCCTAATTATTTCTTGGAAACAAATTTCCTCTAGGTTGTCCAAAATATTTCAAAATTTAAGAAGTATCTTTTTAATGTATGTTACTTTTGATATTGTTTAAATAGCCAATAGGTAAGATTTATATGATTATCTCAGCTCTTGTTGTATTATTATTAAATTAGACTTGTTTGCTATGTACTTTAATATATTACTCATAATCACATTTTGTCAAAAGGTCTAGAGTTCTTTGGGTGATTTTAGAAATTATTTGTAATATATTGGCAATAATAGTATTAAAACAGTAGTACTAATGAGAACAAAATAATAGTTATAAGAATAATAACAAAAACAGACATCTTAATTATTATTTTATGTTACTATAATACCAACATGTGATAGAAGGATTATTTTTGCTTTTAAGCAAAAGCAAAATAACATCTCTGGCCTTTGGAGGTCTTAATGCATCTTTAAAAGAAGACAAAGAGATTTCTGGTCCAGTTAAATGCAATAGGCCTGTTTCTCCTTTATCCTCCTCATAACTACAATAATCAACACTGGAAGTACTCACTGAAAGAGACAAACCAAAGAGAACTCTGAAAGGTAGACAGAGGAGAGGGATTCCATGACTGAAGAAGTAACACAGCAACAAGGAATTTTCAACCTCTACCCAACAAAGCAAGAAAACCAATGGCCAGTGTTTCCACACCCCAGCATAACAACAGAAAGGATTTGGGTAGATTGATGTTCCTCTGCCAGATTGAACACAAGTCCCTCAAACGGGAGCAGTTTGAGCCCAACAGCTCCAGCAAGGTGAATTGACACTGACTTTGCCTGATGACAAACAGCCAAGGGAATTAATTCCCTTTTTCACTAGAACAGAGATTGCTCCTTCCTCATCCTACAAACACACAAGAACACATGTACACTGTGTCTAAAGGCACTGGGAGAGAGGATCCCATTCCTACCGGTAGCCTGACCTAGAGACTCCTTTCTCCACCTAGGAATACCAGATGCTGGGGCTACACAATCCAGGGAAAACTTGCTACAACAAATACAAATGTCTAGGAGAGACTTTTGATTTCCAAGGAGAGAAGACACTTCTCACCCTGAGGTGCTATGTGTCAGGCCTTGAAAACCTGAGTCTGATCACCAGCATCGACCCGTAGAGCTCAATAATACTTTATAAAAATAGCAACCAAAATACCACCACCACTACAACTCTGAAAACTAAGTTATCACAGCCCATAAAAGGAGTCCAGGAACTGTTTTTAAATGTAGAGTGGTTATTGATAAAATAAAACACCTAAATAAGAGCTGCAAATTCCTAATATAACAGACAACATATCATGCCAAGAACAAGAAAACCTGCTATTTAAATAGGAAAACAGAATTGAACGCTAACAACACTGAGTGGAATCAGATGTTCAAATTATGTGACAAGTATATGAGAGTGATCATCACAAATATGCTTCAATAATCCTTTGCCACTCTTCCTAAAACAATTAAAAATTATTTAAAAAATCTCAAATAGACATACAAATAATTATTTAAACTGGAAATTATAGAGCTAAAAATAAAATATCAGAAAGCACACCCCCCCACACACACACATACACAAAAGAAACTTGTTGGAGAGAATCAGTGCAGGAAGGAGATGAAAGGCTATATGGAATTTATAAATTTGAGTATAGATTATTGATTAACAAATTTCTTCAATAGTATTATAATCAGAATTTAGTGTGGAGAAGAAAAACAAAGTGTGTCTGAAAAGGCTTTGAAGAAATGATAGTTGAAAACCAGGGATTAACTAAATCTCATTAAAAAAAAAAATCTACAAGTGGTCCAATGAAAAAAGATGGGAAACCAAAAAAGCCTGGAAGAAAATATTTTCCAGCTACATATTCAATAAAAAGCTGGTATACTACAATATATAAAAACTAAAAAATAAATAAATAAAAATTAAAAATTAAAAAATACAATTAGAAAATGAGCAGAATACATGATCATCTGAAAAAATGAAAAGAATCACGCATCTGAAAATGTAAAGTTGTTCCATATTTACTGATTAGAAAAAGTAAAATAAAACTACAACGAGAAATTGCTGTTTATCAGAATTTTTAAAATTTTTAAAATAGCAACAAAAATACCAAAATTTA